CCGCCTCCCCCTTGGCTATCCTGACCCCTGTCTCTGCTCCTCCTGCCCCAGCTCCGGGGAGGGGCCCTGGTGTGTTAAGTGCTTCCAGCTGACACCTCACAGCCGTCTGAGGGCAGATCTGCAGCTGCACACGCACCCAGTGACAGCACCAAGAAAGCAGAGACTGCCGTGGGTCAGTCACTGCAGTGACCCCAGTTCTTGGCACGAGCCTGACACTCTAACAAAGTGTTGAATGATGAGGAAACCCAGTGGGTTCACTGATAGTCCCATTTGCAAAGCACAGCACTATTTAATGCCAGCTCTCAGCAAACATTCTTAGAGAATCCCCTGAGGGCCTTTGCAGGACAGGGAAACACATGGTGACACAGCCCAACTAGGAGGGAACTCCAATAAGGGAGTCTCCTTATGAATAGTGCCGACCCTGTGTGGGCTCTGCTGCTAAGTGGCTGATGGCATGCAGTGCCATGCCAGACAAGGAGCTGTTGACTGGGAATCATGGAGCCTTCCTCTGAGTTGAGTTTTGAGGCCTAGGAGCTGGCCAAAAGATAGCAAGGTTTGGGGAATGGGAGTCCTCCCAAATATTGGGTGCACTGTGGCATCGCGGGACTGTGAGCAGCATTCCTGGCGTCCTGTATGAGTGCCCATTCATGCCCTGGCTGCTCCACTTCCAACTCAGCTCCTTACTAACAGCCTGGAAAAGCAGCAAAAGATGGACCAAGTGTTTGGGCCCCCACATCCGTGTGGGAGAGCTAGGCCAGCCTGGCTCCTGCATTGACCTGGCCCAGCGCTGGCCACCTGGGGAGTGAAGCAGTACGTGAAATATTCACAGTCTCTATCGATCTAACTCTTTCAAAACAAAAAAATAAATATTTTTTAAAATAAACTATCATTTTTTAAAAAGAACACTGAAACCTGAACATTTAGCATTTTTCTGCTAAGAAAAAGCAGACTTTTTGTTTGTTTTTATCTCTCTTTTGTGTTTTTACTGGAATCCCAGCAAACAGAGCCTAGGTTAGTTCGGTTCAGCAAAATGGACTAAGAAGTGACAAATTTGACTGTAAAGAGACAAAGAGTAGATCCTCAATACACCTGCAGTATTTAACAACTTTATCTGTCAAGTTATTTAGCAACTTGCCTAGTGAGCCATCAGTTTATGTAATTGTTTCCTACCTTGGATACTCGGTGTGCTTTGACCCAGGAGGAACAGGTTTGTAGCAGGTGCCGTCAATGAGCATTTGTGGGAGGATGAGCGGATAGGTGTGTGATGGATGGATGACAAGTTAATGGATGCATGGATGCTGACAGGTCGGCTGATGGATGGGCAGATGGATGGATGAATAAACATATGTAGAAGACTAAAGTTACATATTTCTCAACCTTGCAACCTATGTGCCTGTCAGTATCATTCTGGCAGTTGCCCTGCTTTTCCTGGAGGGTCTCTGCTGGGCTTCTTCCAGCCTCGGGAGACGCCTTGTCGGACCATGCAGCATCCCTAGGCACAGAGCTGATCCTTCTCACAGATCCCTTCCCTGGGGCTGAGGGGGAACCTGTGAGCCATACCAGCGACCGTGCAACACTGAAATCGGGGCAAGAGAGGATGCCCTGGCAATGCTGGAGCCCTCCTCGCCCACTTCCCCTGGCTCCACCCTTAACTCTTCCTGGTCATTGATGGAGGTCAAGCTCCCTCCAGGTGCTTGGTGTGGCTCTGCTCCCTGAAGGCAGGATCATCAACATCATGATGATTTGATTATTAGGTGCGTGTATGTGGATTTAGTTGGCAACCAGTTCAGAGCAGTTTATATGAAGCCTTAAGATTATCAGCCTTTCCACTCCTTTTTGCTAAACCCAAGTTACCTCAGCAGGGATGATAAACTCCAGAAATATTTCCCTTTCCCTCAGAACAAGTTTGGACTACACTGCAAATGAACTACTTACTAAGGTTCTGTCAGGATCCAATGGTCTTCCTCTAAGACCGGAACTCTTGCGGAGTCAGTAGTCTCAACCTTTGACCCCAGCAAAAGGTTTATCTTAGCCCTACATGTGCTCTGGCGGATGGGTTCCCCGGGCATGCTAGTTCCTTGTCTTACAGGAAAACTCGGAGTCACAGGACTCTGACACAGCTCAGGCCGGCTGTGGGGCATCAGCAGGTGGAGCCGAATCCCCTGTGCGCTGCCTCGGCTCCTTGAGAGAACCAGAGCATTTGCTGATCAGTAGAGAGTTACAGTAAGTCAGGTGAGCAAGCCTAACTGCAGAGCTGATGTCTTGGAATGTGGGTGAGAAATATCGCCCTCCCACTTCTGCTGCTTCATTTACGCTTGACATTTTACAAATGTATGTTGTAGAATTGTGACACATGAGGGCACTGGACCTCAAGCTGTAAAAGCACAGCCGAGCATCACTGGCTGATCTGCCTGCCTGTTCAGCACTGGGTCCCCAGTTTCATCTGAGCAACTAATGGTCGTCCTGTGGATCTTTCTAGTGCGGGCATTCCCTTTTGAGCATCGCTAAGGTGACAATGCAGGTGAGAAAAGCCTGCTACGACACGAGCCGGCATACCTGACAGTAAAGTGGAGATAATAAGACTACATTCAAACTGTTTGCTTTGACTGCTATTAAACAAGCATGCAAAGGAGGGTGCAGTGTGCGGTGTGTTTGTGTCTGAAGCTCCATAACTGCATCAGGTCTTGTGATAGCATTTTTATACTTAAATGAGAAACCTCTCAACAAGGAACTCTATCCTCACTTACCCTTGAAAATTCTGAAGTTAAAAAAAATAGTAACCAGAGATACGCTGTGAAATAAAGGCAGAATGTAACTGCTCTAATACACAATGGAGTCACCGTCTTCTGTTAAAGTCATCCATCTGGAAAAACAGAAACATGATTTAGAGCCTCGCTGAACCTGTTCTTTTTTACCTGTTAACCTTTGGAGAGTGAATTAGAGCTGGGGAAAGGTGCTGAGTCAAGGGCCATGGAGACAGATGTCTGTTCCAGACCCGGGAGATGGGCTGGACTATTGCCAGAGGAAGAACAAACACAACCGAACGACCTTGCGGCACATCAGCTGCTCCTCCAACAGCACGGTGTTTCTTTAGGAACGGCCATATGGGAAGGCAAGGAGAGGCAGACACACCACTGGACACTTTCCCAGTGTCAAACCAGCCAATGGACCACCCTCGGAACTCCTGCTGCTCTAGGTTAAAGCTCCCACTGCACAGCCAGAATCTGTTTTTAACACTTTGCTCAAAGAGCAGTGAGACACAGATTGTAACCCCAAGGCCAGGTTCTCGGTCATGCAAAGACTAGTAGACTGAGGCTACGTGAAGCTGAGAGGAGCTGGACTGGGTAGCAGGCAGTTAGGGCATTCTGGGTCCCCAAGTCATCATTTTTTTTCTCAAACATAAAGGGGTATTTTCCCCACCATGTCTTGGATTCACCAGAGCACGTCTCTCCCAAGACAAGTGCTTATCTTATCAGGAACACGCTTCCCCAAGAAACAAGGGCGACATTAACATACCAATTCCCCACCTGAAGCCTCAGCCCCATTCTGTCTCTGGCCACTGCCAAGGGGGAGGGCTTCACATTGGCCTCTTTATCATTAGAAAGGGACCAAGGAAGTTGGCCAGTGACACCTTTCTGGCCTTTTGTCAGAAGAAACATCTTTAGGTAAACCTTTAAAAGATGCTTTCCCCACCATTAATACAGGTATCTTTTTTCCACTTCTCCTCCTGCCACTATGGCAGGGAGTAAGGGTTCTTTCTATCTGAAAGCCCCCTCCCATCACTAGGATGGGAGTCTCCTTTCTCAACTTTTCTAATAAATCTTACTTTAAAACTAAACTGTGTCCACCCGAAAATTCTTTTTTTCCGCAAGACAAGAACTGAGGTTGCTGCTGTATTTGGGGTCAAAAAACCCCTACAACAAAGCCACACACACTGCCCCACCCTCTTTAAGGCTAAGTCCATCACACATTGTTAAGGAAGGAGTTTCACCAAGATCTTGGAAAAATTACGTTAACCATGTGAACGTCTTCTGCTGCATTTTTTTTTTTACTCAAATGTAGTATGAATAAAACTGTATGGATTGCACCAAAACTCCTGCTTTTGTTTTCATGAGCTTTTTGTAACTGTAATGAAATACTTGAGGCAGGCCCCACTTTGCAGGGATCAGAGGTTTATTGGACACGTGGTTTTGGAGATGCACGGCCCAAACAGCGTACATGGGTTTTGAGGAGGGCCTGTTGTCTGCATCATGACTACCTTGAATAGATGGCTCCTTCTTCTCAGAAAACCACCAGCGTTCAATCACTGGGGCAGGCCACTCTACTGACTGGTTCCAGTCTAAGAGCCTCCTGAAGACATCGCTGCCATACTAAGCTAAGGCTCGACCGTCCTGTGTTATTGCAGTGCTTAGTCTTCCTTAGCTGACACCTAGCATCTACAGACATAACTATGCATGCAGCAGAGTATCTGCTTGATATGTTCTCTGGTTTATTTTATAAGTGTTAGGGTCCAAAATCGCCCTCCATTGAACAGCAAAGAACCAGACGTGGATGCAATCAGCAAGCAGAGTTTATTGAGCTGGCTAGCCAGGGTCAAGCTCCTCACACGGACACGCAGGACCGGTGGATGAAGCAAGACCCCGAGCCAGGGACAAGCCAGATTCTTATAGGCCAGTGTGGCCGTTACAGCAAAGCCCGCGCCCGTGAAAAGCACTCCAATCATTTTAAACCAAATATGAAACACTCCAGTCAACTAAAAGCCCACGAAATGCCTCAAGTCTCTATTCATCATGACAAGACAAAACTGTTCTAAGCTAAGGGGTTACAGATGCAAAGCAATAGGTAACATATCTGTGAAATACAGACCATGGGGCTATTTTACCCTTATCAGGGCCACTGACCCTCACATCCTGGGCCTGGGTGCGGTGGACAATGGGCTCTTGCTCTTACTCTTATCAGTGCCTGCAAAAGACCCACTGACCTCAAGCCCAGGAGTGTGGCCCCAGTTATTTATAGAATCGCCTTTTTACTTTAAACTCAAATTGCTTTTGACTTACTCAAATCGCTTCTAATATATAGACCTTTTAACATCTTGGTTGCCTCTAACATAAGATATACCAAAAAATGTACTATACAATATAATAAACAGCCACAAAATCTTAACATTATACTATTTTTTTCCCCAGATACTTCTCTAAGCAGAAACCTTTTACAGATAAAGAGATTTGCTTTTAAATGTAAAGCAATTAAATAAAAAGTCACCATTTAAAAGAGTCTGGGAGAAAAGTATTATATTCCTTAATTTTTGATTCCTAGTTTGACAAATTTTGAGAGAATCTGTTACTGGGAACCTAAAACATGCTACTAATTTAAGTCTGCATTGTAAATCTCGGATATAACCTGAGTGGTAGGATGGAGGTAATAGAAATTGCACGGGAAAACTTGAACACACACCCAGGAAGAACAGAACTGAAAGGACTCGGGGACAGAAGACTGCGTTTCCACCGCCATGTGTACATGCTGGCATTTATAAACTCAGTGCGGATGTTTCCAAATTCTGGACTGAGATACTAAGACATGTGATAACTCACATGCCGCAACGAAATTTCAAAATACATTTCATACTTTTAGCAGCACTCAAAATAAAATCCCTTTACTTAAAAATTACTTTAGAATACCTTTTTAATCGTAACACAGCTTTGGTAAGAAATATTTGACAGTAATATAGACCTGTGACAGGTAAGTTCTACATGTGCACTTCAACACCGCAGTAAGAACAGTCTTTGTGGGTGTAGGTCAGATAAAATGACACTGTTTAAAACTGCTGGCCACCCAAGTTCATTGTCATGTGTGCAGACCCTGGGCAGGAGGAAGTTCCTGACCAGTCCTTCAGGGTGCTGCGGGCAGGTGTGGTCCAGGCAGAGCACGGGCCTGTGAACTCTGAATCCCGTGCCTACAAGGGAGGCTAAAAGCTTTGGTGAAATTGTCTCTTAGTATCTTTGGCCAAAAAAGCTTAATTTTCTTCCTTTGATTTCTGGTTTTATGACCAAATGTCCTGAAGGTACCGCTTTTCTTCTTTTAAAGTAGCCAACGTCCTCATTGCTTCTAGTTTGTCGACACCAACCTCTTTGCTTATTATGTCCACAAAGGCATCACCGACATCCTTGGCCATATTTTTGGCATCTCTACAAAGGAAAATAATAACATCGCTGAAGACAAAATTCTGACCAGATCCTTCATTCTTCATCCAGCTTGCGTGACTCACCATTTGAGTGCTTCCCCCAGGTTCTCCAGGGTTGCCACGCTGTGTCCTGGCTGTCCTAGCCAGGCCTCCAGCCATGGGGGCCACTGCGAAGCTCAGAGCTTTATTAAAGATGCATTTATTTGGAAGTCAGACACACACAGCAATCCTCCATCTGCTGATTCCCTCCCCAAGTGCTCAAAAAAGCTGGTGCTGGGCCAGGGCCAAGCCAGAAGCCCAAAGCTCAGCCTGGGTCCCCATGTGCGTGTAGGGGACCCCAGTCTTAAGCCGTTACCTGCTCCCAGGGTGTGCACTAGCAGATCACACAGGTCAATGTGTGAGCAATTCAAAGATTCAGAGATTTACAGTCCTTCCTGAGCTTCCGCATCCACGGAGCAGCCTACAGCTTAGTAAGTGTCTGGGTACCATCTCCATCTGCCTTCCGCTCGCTTGGGCTGCCTCACACCTCCTCTTCCCTTCTTCCTCAACACATGGGGTGGAAACCACGCTCACTAAAGTGTTAGGAGCAAACACATTTACTGGGAACTGTCTAAGCGCCAACTTCTATTCTAAGTGCATTCACACGTCTCAGGTCTTTACAAGGTAGGGGAGGTCCTCCTTCAGTCCCGGACACTCACTGTGTTGCCAGCATCTGGTTCCAGTGGTCTCCCCTGTAGGGCAGGCTGGGTGAGGGGTGGGGATGTATGTCATTCTCCCTGGAATCTTGAAACACCAGCACCAAGCTCTCAGCAGGTGTTTGAATGGAGACAAGTGGAGGAGAGAGCTCTAACATGTCAGGGATGGAACCGCCCTGGCCCCTTACATCCCACTGCAGTCAGGGGTGCCCAGGGTAGCCAGCTCATCTTTTCTGACTGCCTGCTCATCCCATGGCCTCTCCCTCGGTTATGACGGCCTGCGAGCTGCCACCTGCCACGGCCATTATCCCCACCTCCTTCACTTAAGACAACGTCACCCCTCCTCCCCTTTGTTCTCTCTGAGCCCTCATCTCTGATCTTCACTAACGCAATCAACAGAAAGTGCAGCACCAGTCACCGGGAAGAGTCATTTCCAAGCTCACCTTTTAAGAGCTTGGACTTTTAAGATGTTTTCCAAATTTCCAATCACCAGTTACTTCTGCATATGAACAATCAATTCTGCCCCTACCACTCAGAGATTCCTTTAGAAAACATCAACTTGAACTTGACTGCTGATGGAAACATTCTCTACAAGCACAATGAAGATCAAGGGCTCAATTAAGAGCCAAATGCAAATGTAAAAAGAATGTCTAAAATTTCTGCCCTTTATCAACTTCAAGTGGTCATTTCCAACTGAGAGGCAAACCCATTAACAGATCATGCAGTCAACTGGCTAACCACAATTAAACAAGCAAATAAAACGGAAGACAAATGATCAGGATGTGCCATAAAAATAAGTAGAAATAAATCTTACTTCAATTATATTTAGTTTCCATCATTTTTGGTTTCATTTTCCAGTTTAGTCATCCAAAGTAAAATACAGTCCAAAAATAGCAAAATTCTAGAAATTAAAACCTGTTTTAAGCCATGTGCTGTTCTGAGTCGGGTAACGTGACTCAGGCCATGCCCTCTGCCTGTCCCGCGCATGGACTTGCGGATGCTGCCTCAGGTGACACGCCAACTCTGTATCACGGCGTCTGGGTTCTGGGGAGCTGTGCCTGCCAGCTTGACAGCACAGCACGCCCCCCGGCCCCTCACAGCACCAGTAGAGGTGGGCACAGCATGGCACGGCCACGTGGGTCTGGCCTGCGTCGAGGGCATGCTAACAGTCATGGAAGACACATGCAGACTGAATTCCTCAAGACATTCAGAAAAACACACACTATGAGAAAACTATATAAAATGTTTTTCACCCAGCAAAATGAGCTTCTGGTTTCATTTCCCCAGAACCTTCTGGAAGTACCCTTGCATGTACAGGAAAGGCTCTAGGGTGTCTGGCATGACTCAGGCTGCCCCCCCAGGCGTGCCCCTGGGCCACCAGGCTAACATCCCGAATTTTTTTTTATTTCCATTAAAACAAGGAATTAAAAATATTTTATTTCCCAAGGCAATTGGATTTCTGTAATAGCTTTTGTCCCAGAAGGTAGATAAGACTTAGTAATACAAGAATGACTCCTGGCTTACGTCTCCTAAACACGTGAATCATGCCTTAAAGCAAAAGGAGCCCCGCCAAGCAGACCTCGTTCCCTGCAGCTGCTCCAGGACACAAATCAACAACTCCCAAGCACAGCCAAATTAATCCCAGGGTTTCAGCTTTGATGATTAGTGTCTTCAACATGAAATTTTAGAAACAGGAATCTAAAATGGTACAAAGTGCTCCCAATGTAAGAATTAATTTTTACCGCTTCTTTCCTGGTACTGGCAACATCTCGGTTATTGAGTGTGTGCTGAATCGTTTTGGAACTTGCATTTCTATTTCTGAACTGCAGAATGTAATCTCTCACCCGGACTGGACCCTGGCCGCTCACTGTCCTCCTGGACCATGCCCGCACAGGGTGGCACTTACCCGCACACGTAAACGCAGCCGTTCTCTCGGAGCACAAGCCTTGCCACTTGTTTGCTGTGCAGCTGGAGGCTGTCCTGCACGTACTTGGCCGGGGCCTCCCCCTCCCCTGCAGGGTCATCTCTAGAGAAGGAAACCTTCAGCTGGGTCAAGACGCCACGCTTCAGGAAATGCCTGAGCTCTTCCCTGAAATACACAGCCACCAGGTCACCTAACGTCCAACTCTGAAGGCTGACAGCACACTCAGAGGCTGAGCATCCCAGCAGGCCCTGCAGAGTACCTGAACAGGTAGTCCCGTTCCTGATGTCTGCAGCCAAAAAACAGCCACATTGCCCCAAAATCTCCTGCAGGGTTTTGCTCTTGAAGTTTCTCCCTGTAAGTGAGAGAAAACATGGGAGGTGTCTGACATGAACAATGTGCCAAAGCAGTCTCTTTCGGCAGGAAATGCTACAAGCTAACTGAGGTTGGTGAAATCCATCTTCGCAGTCTCTGAAAGGTCAGCTACCTCATTAATACTCTGCATCCAAAGGCTTTCTCAGCCACTCCTGCGGTCAGCATAGCAAGGATTGGCGCAGGAGCCAGACACACAAGGACAACACGACATGTCACAGCATGAAAGCCAGACCGATCTCCACATGTCAAACACCATGGCAGCTTTACAAATACACTGAAGGTAATGGGAAAGCCACACAGGGCTGCAAAGAGCAGTGCAAAAGCTGGTCAGGCAAGCCGAGCACACAGCACTGCTAATGACAACGCAAGGACTGCCCAAAGAGCGGCCACAAGGGGGCTCAGAGCCTTAGGCAGGAAGCACAGCATAATGAGGCCAGGCCTGTCAGCACCACCCTGTGGACAGTTACGGCCACAGGGATTTAACTGTGCCACCTTTGCCAGGACCGGATCTCTGCTGCTCACAATGTTATCCCATTAGGAAGGAGCTGGAGCAGCCTGGCTCACACAACATGAAGCTGTGTTCAACTACAAACCACAATGCTACTGAAAACAATCAGACCACACCAAGAGTGGGAAAGGAACCTCCACAACACACTGGGCTCACGCTTTCCATGCCACAGACTGAGGCAGGCTGCCACGTCTCATTAAAAATTTTCATCAGATTTTTTTTCACTTTTTGTTATTATTATGACTTTATGATACAGTTCCAACAGGCCCTGGGATTTTCCTTAGTCCTTTCCCAAATCCTCTTCCCCCACGTGTTGTGGGCTAAGGAGTTAATTAGCACTTAGGATGAGCAGTAACAGGAAATGGGCTTGGGGCTAAAAGCACCTGGTCTAACTGGACTCATTGGCATCCTATTGTTTGGTTAAAGGGCTTGGGGGGAAGAGTATAAAAAGAGTAATACAAGGAGTAATAAAATGAGGCTTTAGAGAGACTTCCACCATCACTGGTCTCCTGCCATTGTCACTGGCTCTGCTGGCTGGAGCATCCACTGAGTTTCCCCATGTTATTACAATACTACAGTTCTTTACAAATAGTCCTAAATCCATCATGGCGAGCAAGGACAATGGCAGAGAATCCATCATCCTACTGTCAAGATACATTAAATTTTTAAAAAGATGTTTATTTTTGGGCCCAGTGGTATGGCCTAGCGGCTAAAAGTCCTCGCCTTGAATGCGCCAGGATCCCATATGGGCGCCGGTTCTAATCCCGGCAGCTCCACTTGCCATCCACCTCCCTGCTTGTGGCCTGGGAAAGCAGTCAAGGACGGCCCAAAGCGTTGGGACCCTGCACCTACGTGGGAGACCCGGAAGAAGTTCCTGGATCCTGGTTTCGAATCGGCATAGCATCGGCCGTTGCGCTTACTTGGGGAGTGAATCATCGGATGGAAGATCTTCTGCTGTCTCTCCTCTTCTCTGTCTGACTTTCCAATAAATAAATAAATCTTTTTTTTTTTTTTAAGATTTATTTTTATTATTTTTTCATTGGAAAGGCGGATATACAGAGAGGAGAGACAGAGAGGAAGATCTTCCGTCCGATGATTCACTCCCCAAGTGAGCGCAACGGGCCGATACTATGCCGATCCGAAGCCAGGAGCCTCTTCTGGGTCTCCCACGCGGGTGCAGGTTCCCAAAGCTTTGGGCCGTCCTCGACTGCTTTCCCAGGCCACAGGCAGGGAGCTGGAAGGGAAGCGGGGCCGCCGGGATTAGAACCAGCGCCCATATGGGATCCCGGGCGTGCAAGGCGAGGACCTTTAACCACTTGCGCCACCACGCCGGGCCCAATAAATAAATCTTTAAAAAAATGTTTATTTTTATTAGAAAGACACATTTGCACAGAGAAGGACACAGACAGATCTTCCACCCACTGCTTCACTCCCCAAATGGCCGCAATGGCTGGAGCTAAGCTGATCTGAAGCCAGGAGCTTCCCCCAGGTCTCCCACGCAGGTGTAGGGCTCCAAGGCTTTGGACCATCCTCCACTGCTCTCCCAGACCACAAGCAGGAAGCTACATGGGAAGTGGAGCAGCTGGGACATGAAATGGTGTCCATACAGGATGCTAACACTCGGAAGATGGAGGATTAGCCTGTTGAGCTATGGTGCCAGCCCCTGATGCCAATGTTTTTAAATAAAAATTTTATAGCCAGTGCCTACCACCTAAAGGGCTATTGCGTGCCTACCAGGGTCACTGGGAAGTGCTCGCCCCCAAGCACACCTACCGGTGCTGCAGGAAGCCAATGAAGGGTGCTATGCCAGTTCCTGGGCCCACCATTATGATGGGGATGGAGGGGTCCGTTGGTAAGTGGAAAGACGTCACTGCCCGAGGAGAGATGGGTATCTGCAATGATAAACCGTCACGCTGAGTCTGAGACAAGAGCTGGGTCAAAGCATGCGAGCACCCAGAGAAGCAGACTTGCCCACAGGAGCATTGCTAGGCAGCAGCCCGAGTCCTCAGCAGCAGCCCGGGACCTCAGGCACATCAGGGGGCTGTCTTCTGGCTTAGCAGAAATGCCAGTGCAAGTGCCCGCACTCTGTCAGAGTGCCTGGGTTCAGCCACAGCCCTGGTTGATTCCAGCTTCCTGCCATGTGGACCCTAGGCAGCAACAGGAACCTTTCCCGGGGTCCTCCCCTGCGTCTGGGGGGCACTGGCTGAGACCGGTTCTGGTCCTCCCCTGTGCCTGGGAGGGGGGCACTGGCTGAGACCGGTTCTGGTCCTCCCCTGTGCCTGGTGGGGGGGGGGGGACTGGCTGAGACCCATTCTGGTCCTCACCGAGCCTGGGGGGCACTGGCTGAGACCCGTTCTGGCATGAGCAGCAGCATGTGGCCATTTGTGGAGGGTCATCAGAGGAGCGATCTGTGTCCTTTTCTATCTCTTCCTGTCTTCCTGCCTCTCGAGTAAATAAACACACATACACAGGTCTGTAAGATGAAGGGCCTCAGATTTCCGAGCCAGAACACTCAACAGGCTTCTCCCGAGCCCGGCTGAGCCCTGGAAGGACACACCAAGGCAAGGAAGACAGGGCTCTGCATGCTTGCGCAGGCAAGACTCAAGATGAACATCCATGGGTTCAAGAACTTTAGTGAAGATGAGGCAGCCTCAAGGCAGGCCTGCCCACAGATCCTAGTACAGCGTGCTTTATCGGCTGTTTGGGTCCAATGTGTTAAAATGAAAGAGTGATGACATAGTTCAACTAGTTAAAATTCCAAACTCTTTTTCTTTTCAATCATGTGCTGCGGATAATCAGGGCTCATTCTGAACATGTTTCATTCTGTCCCACACGCAATCACGGAGTGTCCATGTGCACACTTCAACTTTTAGTTAAAGGAAGCTTGACGCAGTTCACAAAGAGCCCCGATACCACGCTATGCAAGCGCCAGACCAGCAGAGCTGCATCCAATTACTGCTCTCATTAGGGAATGAAACTCTAATGACCGTTCAGCTGCCCCACTCATTTTAACAGAAGTTGATATGACAGGCCCGGCAGGTACAGAAATGGACAAACACAGTCCCCGTCTTGACGGACGTCACATTCCAGTGGAGCAAAGGGCAAGGCACCTCCAGACAATGATGTGCAGATGTTAGCCAAGGTCAGGAGACGGTGGGTGTGCAGGGAGCTTAGTCAGACACCAGTGCCAGAGCTCGGCAGGGCAAGCTCAGCAGGTGCTGCAGTGAGAGCGCTGCTTAGTCAGACATCAGAGAGGGCCAGAGAGGGCCTGAACAGAGTCTGCTCACAGTGCAGCGCGTGAAGCCACTGCTAGGGACGCCCGCACTTGAGCTCAGGGTGCCAGTTCCAGTCTTGGCTACCCTGTTCTTCCGCTCCAGCTTCCAGCTAGTGAGTCTGGAGGGCAGCAGACGATGTTCCAAACACCTGGCTTGCTGCTTGCTCTTGTGAAACCTGGGTGATGTCCCTGGATGCTGGCTTCAATCTACCCAGTGCTGGGTGCTATGAGATACTAGCAGGAGAACTAACATACGAACATACGAGAACATTCCTGACTCTCTTTTCTCTGTTACTCTGCTGCTATACAAATGAATTAATAAATAAATAATTTTTTTTAAAAAGCCAGAAAAGCAATGGCTGGCTAAGCCAGTCTGTTTCCAGCAAAGAGCAAGTGCAAAACTCAAGCTGAGAGCATGCTGTCGTGGCCTAGCGACCGCCCAGCCTGTGCTGGCCGACAGCCACTCGCCCAGTGTTCAATTCTGCTTGCTGCAGGCTGTGAGCTGCTACAGCTCTGCCCCAGGGACCTCCTTCCCTGTAATCCATGTGGCAAGAACAACCCCGACCTGACCGTGCCTGGCCTCACAGCAGAGGGGAGGGTGTGAGGCAAGCTGTGCCCACCAGTGTGGCTGGTGGGTGTCCTGCCACTGACACAAGGGGAGTGTCCAGTGCTCTCACAAAGTGAGGGCAATCACCGACAACTGACGACTGTAGCCTGGCTGGGGTAGGGGAGGTTGTGTGGCAGTTCTCCAGCTGGTAGTGAAATATGTACCACTAAGCACAGCAAAATTCAGAGAGCAGTTTCCCAGGCACGCAGCAGTCACATAAACCTGCTGCTGTGCAGAAGGAGCAGGGAGAGCGGCAGGCCGTGGCGAGCACGCATGCGCAGCTCCGCAGCTCCGTGCTGGGCACGCGTGACGCACAGAAAGCTCTGCTCTTTGTGTAGATCACAAAGTGATGTGTGCTCTTACGTCCAAGTCTAGGCTGCGTTATCAGTAACAGTAACAACAGCTTCTCAGTCTCAGCTAGTGTCGACGAGCACTGGACAAGGCCGTAAAGCACTCCTGTTTCAGGCAGTGGACGGCAGAGACATCAAGTTAACGGACAAAATGGAGCAGTGGTTCTCTCTGACATCGCTCAGTAGTCCGAGTTAGCCTGAGGAATCCTCATGACCTCAAGATCCCAGACTTGTCAGAGTGCAACTGGCACAGTTGTGTCTTTACCATGGAGTCGGACAATGTCAGAAGAAAGTCACCTTGAAGGGCAACGAGGGCCAACTCTAACTGCTCGCTGCGCATGCGGCCTAACGCGAGACATCGACACTTGCTCTATGGAAACACAAACCATGCCACAAAGTCCATGCGCAAACGTGTCCACAATTTGTTCAGAAAACTATAGAACTTGCTGGTCCTAGTTGTTCTAAGTGGCACACTATCATGTTTCCTCCAGATTTTCGGCTGTCAGCAAACCTAAGGTCTGAGCTCAATGTCAAACGTGGCTGCCCTAACCTCACGCTCCTTCCTGGACTCGCTGAGCCAATGCTCAGAACTCAGAGAAGTCGAATCATTCTCCCTCAGCGGTGCAGACAAGCACACAGAAAGAGCTGTCACAGGAAACCAGGCACTGCGCAGAGAGGGAAACGTGGCCAGCTCCAGAGGAAGCGGCGGGAAGCATTGCCCCTCCACTGGAGATGTGGAAAGGGCAGCAGAGCCCGAGCTTCACTGCAGTGCTGGGAGACAGTGAGCGGGCAGGGCAGCAGGGCACACTCCTGTGGTACCTGAGGGGCTGGGCCTTCTCTGCCATCTTCATGTGGATCTTCGGAGTTTGGCTGAAGAAATGAGCTAACCCTCGTGGCCAACCAGCCAGTGCACACTCCCTTTCTCGAAACCACGGTCGTGGTGTGAGACACAAACTCCACAATGTTAAAAACAAAGTGTAGCTTCCCCGGGTGGCACAGACTCGAGCTGCAGAGACACACCAGTGACATGGTCACTTCACTCCTGGACCCTGTGACTCCAGACTGCCCGCCTGCCTGCTGACATCATCAGGAACGCATCCAGTCTTGCTTGCCCCAAGTTAAACCACGAAGGCCCTAAGGGTTTTCACTCAGCATGCATGAGGACTTCTTATCAAGTGAATGAACACCAATAAATCCTGACTGAAAGCCCAGATCTCACGCACTGTTAGGACACTAAAATCTGAAAGTGACTTTTTATCCAGAAAACTAAAAAGTCAGAGTAAAAGCATCTTTATAAGATTGCTATGATGGCTGGTGTTACAGCATGGTAATTTAAGCTACTGCCTGCCAGTATCTGACACAGGTGCCAGTTTGAGTCCCAGCTGTTCTACTTCTGGTCCAGCTCCCTGCCAACGCACCTGGGAAAGCAGCAGAGGATGGCCCAAGTGTTTGGGCCCCCTCAAAATCCCATGGGAGACCAGGACAGAATTCCAGGATACTGGCTTCAGCAGGGGAGTAGATCAGCGGATGCAAGCTCTCTCTGCCTCTCGAACAAATAAACCTCAAGAATGACAAGAGCCACAAAGCACCTCTCTGCGTGCCGAGTCCTACAGCAGCGAGAAGGAACACCCGTTCGGTGTGCACTTCCTGTGTGATCACGGTGGAAATCCCTCCCCAGGGACGGAGGAGTGACACAGCAGCACCGGAAGCGGGCTGTGGCCCTGGAGACCCACGGCCCTAAGCAGGGAAACCCAGGGGGCCTGAAGACCTTCCACCCCGAGCTCCTGGAGGGCTGGAGTGGTGAGCCTCATGCTGTCAGCTCGTCCTCCACACAGCAGGTGAGCGTTCCCTGAGTGAAATGGCAGCCGTAAGAATCTGTGGTCTGACCTCCCTAAGGCTTTGTACAAAAGATGCAATATTATATCTAATAATAATAATAATAATGATGATGATAATACTAGTACCTTGCGCATGAATACGGCCTGGGCTGTAGTTTAGGAAGATGTTCTAGAAAAAAGAAACCATTTATGAATCCACTGATACTGAAGATAATCATTATCAAACACTCAAAAAAAAAAAATCAAAACCTAAATGTGAATCCTGTTTTCTTATATATCTTTAAAATAACTGACATTGTAGCTTTATGTCATAGGTAACATACATTTTTTGTGGCTAAGTAAAATATTAACATTTTCTTGGGGCCCGGCAGCGTGGCCTAGTGGCTAAAAGTCCTCGCCTTGAACGCGCCAGGATCCCATATGGGCGCCGGTTCTAATCCCGGCAGCTCCACTTCCCTTCCAGCTCCCTGCTTGTGGTCTGGGAAAGCAGTCAAGGATGGCCCAAAGCTTTGGGAACCTGCACCCACGTGGGATACCCAGAAGAAGTTCCTGGATCCTGGCTTCACATCGGCATAGCATTGGCCATTGCGCTCACTTGGGGAGTGAATCATCGGATGGAAGATCTTCCTCTCTGTCTCTCCTCCTCTCTGTCTATCTGACTTTCCAATAAATAAATAAATCTTAAAAAAACAAAAACAGAAAACAAAAACAAAACACTGAATTCCGAGCCAACAACAACAAAAAGACTGAATAAACTCAGAGAAAACAATAGTAACATCAGGAGAAAGAGCTAAGGAGATCGGAAAACCCGCAAACACTGCTGGGCCGGCATCTGTCTGCCGTGGACCCCCTACTGAGGCAACCCAGAACCCAGCGGCCACACAGCAGCAGCACGGGGATTTCCTGCCAAGTGCGCCTGTACATAAGTGCCCTGGACTGAGGGAGACAGGGGCAGCCGCTGCTCACCCAGCACGAGGCTCAGCGGCGGCCGGCAGGATGGAAAGGCGTGGAGGAGGTCCAGGAAGCAGGCGCAGGCGTCACGCACGAAGCGGTTGTAATCGGCCATTCCCTGCTTGCTGCACAGCTCCTGCAGCCTGCGCTTTTCAGCACTGTCGCTGGTGTAGTCGGCAAGGGCTCGCAAAAACGCCTGGGAAAGGAAGCAGGTGTCAGTCATACCATGTGATGGTGCTCTGTTGGGAAAATTTCACAAATAGAGCACAAGAATACAGGCCAGAATCCCAAGTCTCACTTAATCAAACTCCAACTGCCGGGCCAGACACACTGGCCTCGCTCATACCCACTGCTGGTCTGAAGGCAGTCGCAAGCAGTCACATGTGACACACACAGCATTTTATCATGTCGCCTGTGTCAGATGCTGCATCAAACACTACTGGGCATCTATTGCACAGCTCTGACTGACGTGCCCTGCGCTCCCCTAGCAGGGCAGGCAAGACCACTGTTCTCATAGGGGTCACACACTGCATGGTACTGAATCGGAAAATTCCATATTGCTTTTGGAGAATAATTCAACAAAGCCAATAAAAGTTACTACAACTTAAACTGGAGGTATTTCCAAAATAGCACTCAAGGTGAAAGAGAGAAAGCAAAGGGTTAATGCTTTCCTTGCTTCTACACCTTGCTTGGCAAGATAAGATAAGAAACAAGAGGAAGGCTGTGACAGGCCCGACTGCGGGAAGGGGGTCTGGGTTTCTGTTTCCCGACAAGTGAATTCCTTTTCCTGAGAAATGGGCCCAGAAAGTCCTGGGTCAGAATAGGGCCATAGAACTGTAACAGGCCCGGGCTGTGGGAAGGGGGTCTGAGTCGGCATCAGAGTCAGGGCCATAAAACTTAAGGCCTGTCACAAAAGTATGTTAAGCTTGTAGTGTGTGCCTATAAGCTGCCTGTACCCCCGGAGCTGGGGGCTTCTCTCCCTGTTGGAGTATAGGCCCGTTCCCGAACGTCAATAAAATCCTCTTGCTTCTTGCAGCCTCTGACCTGGTTCTTGAGCTCTCGGGGTCCATAACCGTTAGACCCCCTCAGGGTTTAACAAAGGAATTCATTTTACAAAAACACTTCAAATAAATGTGCAAAAATTAACACAATTCTTGAACCGTATTAACACACATTCCACTTGAACCCATCTATAGAGTAAGTAGTGGACAACCAATGACTTACACTGCACACACTTATCATGTTGAAATAAACACATTTGTTTTCAAGTAACACAATTTATAAAATAGTATGTAAAAGATTAGAAAAAAATTCTCAGACAATGTGTGCTATTAAAAAGCTATGCACAGATTTCAAGTTTTTGTACCAAAATAAACTTATCCTTTCATTCCCTTTCCAATCACTTTTGAAATTATCTTGTGAATTATAGGATTCCACTTTTCTTAGCAAAGTAAAATTCAAGCTCTGAGAGTTGGACCATCAAACTTCTACTTCCTTGGTTACTTATTTCTTTATCCAGAATTTTTACAATGGCCATGTTGCTTTTGTAGTAAGGAAAAATATGTGAATCAAAATGGTAAGGTCGAATGAATATTATGAATTTACTGCATTTGATCTGGAAGTTCTCACAAAGAACTAACTACTCCTAAACTTAATCGCACTGCAGCTAGAGCTGAGCCTCTCTGTGAAGTGGCTCCCTTTCCAAAGACCCTGAGAAAACGCAATGCACTCGTGAGGAACGCGTCCTGAGACCCAGGCACAGTGTCTGTGGTTGGCCAGGCAAAACTCCAGAGCATGGCAGCCACAACATTCACCTGCGGAAAAGGATTAGAGAAAACCCCTTTCCTGAGTTTTAAAAACAATTACCCGGAAGACACTGACACCTAGTGGACCTTTCCCTCTAAATTCTTATGTCAGTATAAGCTACCAAACCCTTCAGTTCCCCCCAAATAACTGCTCCACCAGTAAGTAAGTCTAGCACTATAGGAAACAGACGTGAGCAGCTGTGGCAGGTGGCAGGTGGCATGGAACCGCCCAGCCCTCACCTGTGTTGTTCATCAGAGAGACAGCATGGTGTAGTTGGGCAGCATGAGGTTAGCCAAGGTCAACCGTATCACTGCTTAGCTGCTATGTAAATTTCATGTCTAGTACAAACAAGACTAAGAAAAACTATTTTGTAATCATCTTACTTCTTTAGGAAACAGTCATTTCAATGTAAACAGATATAAATCTATTTGCTTCTGGCAATGATAAAGATATCAGTGATCCTAGGAACTGCCTGTGAAATCACACTTTTTTCTAAGACTTCAAGCCACACACATCAGATCCATTTAATGATCCTACAGGAGATAAATGCATGACATAACAGCTTCCCAAGGAAGACAGAAAAATACCTTTTTGGGAACGGCTCGTATCTCAAGGCACCAGGTGAACATGAAATGGAGCGAGCATCTCTCGGGGACGTGCTGGGGCAGGGCGGCTCCTGCTCAGTGAGACAGAGACGAGGCTCAAGACCCCAACGGCCACAGGCGTACCACCCCCTCAGCCGCAGCAGCCTCCCTCACACTGCTGCGGTCACTGCTGCGGGACAGCCAAAAAAATCCCCAAGTAAAGAAAAATCCCCAAATAGCAACATTCGAAGTAGGTCAAACAAAAGGAAAACAACCTAAAATCGAGGAACAGAAAAGCTAAGACAGCAGTGTTCCAGCAGAACTGACAATCCTCAAAAAGAACTTTAGAAATAAACTCGAGGTCAAGAGTCTAGACATAAAATACATGTATTTGTATTTGAAAAAAAAACTGATTTCAATTATAGAAGTAGCAATTATCGGTATATAAGAGATATGCACTTCTTAGTGCAGGTTCTGAGAAGGGAACGGTGAAGGAGAGGAATCTTGGAAGAGACTGGCCACAAGGGGACTGCCTCCGCTCCCCCGGCAGGCCCCCGGCAGGCACCCAGCAGGCACCGGCAGGCCCCCAGCAGGCCCCCGGGCCCTGTGCGGGCACCACTGGGCACCGGGTGGGAGCCCTGGCACTCTTTGTTGGTCAGTAGCTAGCCACTGGTCCAGGACACCAAGGAAGTCCCGGCCCTGGGGTGGTACCTTTCTTCTTGGTGTCTGCCTTAATGTTCAAGAGGACACGATGCTCTCTCTTGTCTGCGAGCTCCAGTCTTTCCAGGAGGTTCTGTACTTCCAAGTCATTGTTGGGACAGATCACGCTGAAGGCATCCCCAGGCTGATAGGAAAAATCTGTTTTCTAGAGGAGACCCAAGATGAAGTTTTGGTTAAGGAGTTTAAGCTGTGGGGAAACAAAATACACTTTCGTTGTGGGATCATTTTAATATGTGTACTCAAAAAATAATTTGGAGACATAAATTCAAATAAAGCAAATGCACATTAATTAGCAGGTGCTCTAAATAAGAAAGGCATTGCCCAGCATCCTGCCTTCTTCCACTGCTGTTAGAGAGGGCAAATCAGACCTTGCTCATTGTCTGCTGTCACATACCACACTGGTTTTAAAGTCTCCGAGCCCTTATAATAACTTGCGTGAGCACACACACACCCCATGACTACAAAAAGCTAACGGAAGTCAACCACACTGGTTTCCTGCTGCATCCTTTCCTTCTCTTACTCCTTTCCTTTGGTGAGAAACAAGACATGAGGTTTTTACCTTATTGAGGAAAAGCATGGCACTAGGTGGCTTGATTGTGGTTATGAGCACACGTGGGCTGGGAAAAGAGCCTTTGCCCAAGTCAGGTCTACATGCAAAGCTCATGACCCCACACACTCAGGGGATGACCAGCACGCCAGGGCTCATGGGACAAGCTCAAAGGGGATGACCAGCAGGCAGGGCTCATAGCAGGAGCTCAGAGGGATGATCAGCACGCAGGGCTCATGGGAGGACCTCAGAGGGATGACCAGCAGGCAGGGCACATGGCAGGAGCTCAGAGGGGATGACCAGCAGGCAGGGCTCATGGGAGGACCTCAGAGGGGATGACCAGCAGGCAGGGCACATGGCAGGAGCTCAGAGGGGATGACCAGCAGGCAGGGCTCATGGGAGGACCTCAGAGGGCAGACACAAGACTCCAGAACTATGCAAAAGCTCAGATCACCATTTTTCTGGAAAAAGGCCATGATTTCCCCAGATTCTCTCTGCTCTAGTAAGTCACCTTTGCAGAGCAGTCTGCTCCAAACTCCACTTGTAACTAGGTGTTGAATCTTAAGTAAACAGATTTGCAAAGGCAGCAACTGTACCCATTCAGGCTGAATCGCCCTGATCTCCTCATCCCTGCCCTGAAGTGGAAGGAAAACAGAGGAGGGGTGTGAAGCAGCCAGCTGTGCCGGGGCCTTCTGGCTCTCCTAAGTGTGCAGTCCGACACCTCGTGGCTCTGCACGCCTTGGCGGCACACGAGCTGGGAAGGAAGCCCTGCCACTTACGGAAATGTCCAGTTCCAGCAGCAGGGTGGTCTTCACGGCGTCGCTCCTCGTGAGCTGGACCGCCTTTGAAATCGGCACCGAAAACACTGGGTCCGCTGAAGGCACAGATGCTTGGCTTTCCTCCTGAGAAGAAGACACGATGCAGGACAGCTGATTCCCACCACCTCCTCCTTAGGTGACTGTGCACACCCCACAGGGCGCGCAAAGCCCCTGGCCGCCGGCTACTGCTTTCTATGTCAAGGGGTATACACCTCTGCACCCCCTTTTTCAAGGGGAAGCTCATCTTTTTTCCATGGGCCTGTCTGCCAGACATCAGGCTTTCTGAAACACGTGTGGACAAGCACGGCCCTTTCACGTGCACTCCAGCTCACTGCCAGTGGAGAGGACACCGCTGCATGTGCACACACTTCTGGCAGGAAGCCCTGAAGGAAGTGCCGGATGTGAGTGCCTGCGGCGTGGCTGTGCGAGGCCCTGGGAGGGCCGGCGGCGCCTGGGGAGCAGCTGTGGGGCTCCTGTGTGCATGGCGTGCCTGCATGATGGGACTGTTCTCCGTGTGACACAGTGTGCTCCACACATGGCCCCCGAGGATCTGCAATCTACAGGTGTTCCAGCAGTGTCAGGACATCTTACACCCCCAATTCCTTTCCGAGCCCACACAAGAGCTTGCCCCAGTAAAGAGCAAGGTCTCCATTCTGTTCAGAGACAATGCAGGGGCCTCTGGCCACCCCTGCCCTCTCCCCCGGGCTCCTCTCCTCCCCTGGCTGCTGGGCCAATGCCCAGGGTCAACCCTGACATCAAGCTGACAAAGAGCTGACCCAGCTAAGGAAGGCATGGGAAGGTGCCCTAGCAGGACCCAGGGGAGCAAGTAGAGACGTGACGGGCTGTGCCAGGACCAAAGGGAAGAGCAGTAACGTGGGGCAGTGAGTGTCCGCGTCCCTCCCGGCCCAACGAGTGTCCGCGTCCCTCCCGGCCCACCCAGTGTCCGCGTCCCTCCCGGCCCAACGAGTGTCCGAGTCCCTCCCGGCCCAACGAGTGTCCGCGTCCCTCCCGGCCCACCCAGTGTCCGCGTCCCTCCCGGCCCAACGAGTGTCCGCGTCCCTCCCGGCCCATTGAGTGTGATGACTCCCTGGCAAGAGCACCCAGTTGTGATGTGACTGCACTGACCTCAAAGCTCCCAACAGCGAGGGAGAAGCAACAGCCAACCATGAGAGGTGGGGATAGCAGGGCCACTCTGCGTGCCCGGAGAGGAAAGGGCTTCTGGTGGGCACATCGGAACAGATAGAACTACACAGTGCGCCCACTGCAGATGATGACACCCTAAGGGAACACCAAGGAGACAGTGTCGCCAAGGTGCTAGGGTGCGGGTGACAGAGACCCTGGGGAGTTTAGGGCCAACCTCCCTACCAAAGAATGGAGGGCAGGTGGGCACAACCACTGTTACAGCAAATGAAAAGGCAGAAGGGCTGGCAGGTCAGGTAAAGGGTCTGACCCTCAGAATCAACAGTGATGGCGGAGAACTTGCTGCTGTTCTTGGGGTTGAAATCAACAGGCAGCTAACAAGGGCTTTGGATCCATCCTCAGAATGAAGAGAAATCAGGGGACATGAGCAGCAGGCTCCAGGCAGCTGCCTCAACAAAACTGGAAGATTCCATGTCGGTTAACAGATGCTGACCCTACTGACTCTGAAGGGACACATCCCCAGGAAGAGAACTGCTCACAGCACAGCAACTGTACTTCACTGTACACATGGCAACAGGTCACAGGAAGGTCCACACTTGTGTCGGTGCCCGGGGTCCCAAAGGAACATCAGAATCTGCTCAGGAGCTCAGGGGGGCATGCTATTCCCGCCCAGGACAGGTTCAGCAGTTCACTGGCTCTCAGCACCTCCAGGGGCTGCTCAGCAGCTGGCAAACCTCAGGCTGCATTGCTGGGCTGTGCAGCAGAAGCAGCAGCCATCCTAGGCAAGGCCTGGGGGAGCCCCTGGACTGTGGGGCAGAAGCAGCAGCCATCCTAGGCAAGGCCTGGGGGAGCACCTGGGCTGTGGGGCAGAAGCAGCAGCCATCCTAGGCAAGGCCTGGGGGAGCCCCTGGATCTGACACAAAGCCAAAAGCAGAGCAACATCCTAGAAGAGAGGAGATGGCAAGCCACTTTGCTGAGCTCTGTTCTAACGTAGCTTTGAAGAGAAAGCAAACACCCATTAGTAGATACCGCTCATGGCTCACCTCGCCAGCGGGCTCCAGCAGATGTACTTGCAGGTATTCTGGGGGCGCAGCAGGAACACTCAGGGAGGCTTGTGAGAGCGGGGGCACAGAATGGGTAAGTGTGGCTTCCAAGTCCTTAATCAAAGCCTCCGACAGGGTGCTGTTCACCACATTCTGCCTCCAGACCCCCGAGGGCCTGCCTCCTGAGCCTTCTAAGCTCAGACGCTGGACTTGAGACACGACGCCTAACAGCTCTGGTTTCCCAGGCTCTGCACTCGGGGAGGCACCAGAGGCTTCTGGGAGAGTTCCACTCATCTCTTCTCGTCCTCTACTGGCCCTGAAGTGCTTGGTAAGGGCGGCCCAGAGTCCCGCAATCCACGGCTCCACCACAAGCTCCAAACTGAATCCCCAAAAGAGGGAAGAAAAGAAAGGAAGTGAGCAGATGAGCACTCGAGTGCAGCACAGCGGCAGGCTTCTCGCACGCTGCCTTACCCGACACAGTCATCAGCGTGTCCAGTGTCATAGAAGTGCTGGGCGCCCAGTTCCTGAAGCCGTTTGTCAATCACTTTCCCCCCATTACAGAAGAACGTGTACTCTGAATCACCCAATCCTGAAGGACCCAAAGAGACAATTAGTGCACAGTGAGGTTCAAATGCAAGCAGTGCGAAGAACAGTCAGCACAATGTGTCAGCTGTTGCAGACAGATGACAAAAATACAGCCAGCTAAGTTTCTTCTATTTTACAACATAAAAGTGCCTGACTTAGCCCAAGAAACCTGCTCCCTGGGGCTGGTGTCGTGCTAGGCGTTTAGGCAGCTGCCTGTGGCACTAAGACACCACACGGACACCAGTCAAGTGCTCCACTTCTTACCTCCTCCCTGCTAATGCGCAGAGAGAACAGCCCAAACCCCGGGGTCTTGAAGAAGCCCAGCTCCTAGTTTGAGATTGGCTCAGCCCTAGCATTGTGGCCATTTGGGGAGTGACCCAAAAGATAAAAGATCTTTCTCTCTCTTTCTAACTCTGCTATTTAATAACAAAATATCAAAACACACAAATGGCCTGGAAAGCAGCTGAGGATGGCCCTAAGCCTTGGGACCCTCTCTCACATGGGAGACCTGGAAGAAGCTCCTGGCTTCAGGTTGGCTCAGCACGGTACAGAGGATCTTCCTCTCCATCTTTCCTCCTGTATGTAAATCTGACTTTTCAATTAAACAAACAAACAAATAAATAAATCTTTAAAAAAACAAAACAAGGAGTAGACAGGATTAACCCCAAAATATGTCCCTCCATTCACTGATCTGACCTTGAGCTGGGCCACTTCTCATTCACAGCCTTTTTGTAAATAAAGCCTACTGGGACACAGCCAAGTCCGCTCGCACACATGCGGCCCATGGCTGCTCCCAAGCTCCAACAGCCATTGGACGGCTGTGGGAGAAGCGCTGGCCTGCGGAGCATAGCACACTGCCCGCTGGCCCTTGCTGGGGTCAGACACAGCAAAGAACCTGCCGTAGATTCCTGGGCTGCGTCCACTGGAACTGCTCCAGGTTTCTTGGCAAGAAAATAGACTGCCATTTCCAGACTTGTTGGAAACTTTACAACTCAAGTTCACAATTTTGTTTATCTACACGTTCCTTCTCCAAATGAGAGACGAGTAGGAAGCTCCGTGTTTCAGTCCAACACTGAAAAGATTGGATGGGCGGGCTTGTCTTTGAAGAGATTGTCAAAGCGTGTGTTTATTCTCAAAACAAATGTTTATTTTATTTTGTTTCTACTGGTTTACCTCCTAAATGTCCTCAATAGCTAGGGCTGGGTGGGGCTGAAGCCAGGAGCCAAAACTTTCTAAAGTCACCCATGTAGGCGCCAGGGACCCAACCTCTTGAGCCTTCACTGTCGCCTCGCGAGGTGACATTAGCAGGCTTGGCTGAACTGAGCCGTCCGATCTGTGCCTTCATCATTTTAAAACCATGCCTCACAGAGCCCAAAGTTGAACAGCATCACCCCAGAGCTCAGAAAACGACCCATGCTGGAGTCTGACCCCAGTCACTGCAGTGAAGTGACTGCCGCCTGCACCTGGCCTCAGGGTCAGGGAGCAGGCGCCAATCAGCAAGACCTCTTCAGCCAGTGACAGGTTCTCCTGTAAGAGGTCATGGGAGCCACCTGAAATCCCTGTCTAGTTGGACCGAGAAACGGTGAGTGGGGCTGTTCCTTTGAGCGCTCTGTCTACACAGGTGTCAGGACAGTCCCTGCCACCAATCCTTGGGGAATGCTTTGTGGCTGAATCTGACATGCACCCCCAGTCATTCTGGCACAGCTCCAGGGAGCTGAGGACGGGGAGGTGTGCACACATTATGCATTTTGTATGTACACAAACACTAACAAAGGGAAAATCTATGAACTGCAGAACCCAGAGTGCAAGCCAGGAACAACGCAGCATGAAGAGAGCGTGGAACACGGTCCATTACCCAATAGTCCATACCGCAGGTGCGCAAAGGTATCAGGTGGCAGCGTCTTGTCCTGTATCTCCTTAACAAACTTGCGGGCGGTGTCTGGTGGGTCTCCGCTCCCCGTGGTAGACACAACGACAACAAGAGGAGCTGTCTCAGTTTTTAGACTATACTGCAAAACAGATACGCAGTCAGAAACCGCCTGCCACGTGAGTTGTTCAGGCTCCACGTGAGCGCGGCCAGCGACTCCGTCTCTCCGTGTGCCTTGTCTCGTTTCTCCTTTGAATGTTCCATGTTATCAATCACTCAAGAGGTACAGCTGACCGCACCAGCGACTTCCACCAAGTCCCGCCGTGGAGGGAGTCACTGAGAAGCCAGCACATGCTCTCTGGGTGCTCACCAAGCTGGGAGAATTGAACTTCTCCTTATTTCTGTGTTTTGCTAGGGGGCACCCAGGCAAGGTCCCCATCTAGTTCAACCCTCCACTAACAAGGAAACCGGGGCAGATGGAACAGATAGCATTAAATCTTCACCACGGCACCCTGTGCTGAATGTCAGTATGAGCTCCAACCAGCAAGGCAAGTCCAGCTAAGGGTCAGACAGACACAGGCACTGGAGCGAGCCCACAAGGAAGGGTGGCTGACCGGCTGATGAGGTAGGAATGTCCATTCCCAGGAAAATACAAACAAAACAAAAAATAAACAATAGCTGAAAATGAGGGGGAGGGGCAGGATGAGAAGTCAGCACCTCAGAGTAGAGAGAGAACAAGGTAATGCTAGAATGTTCCAGCAAAGGCTGGAATGCTAAAACCCTCAGCGGATGCATGCCCAGTTACCGCACTGCATGTGACCCAGCGCAGATGGCACCAGGGGCATTTCCAGGGGACTCCAGCAGCTTCTGGCCGGAGGGCCAAGAACAGCTCCTGCTGCATGTCGGTTCATCAGTGTGCCCAACTCGCTCTATAAGAAGTCTTACACAAAATTAAAGCCAATGGTAGCCAGTTACTGTCTCTTAGGAGCTGCAGTGTGTAAGAACACTGTCTAGGGGAGTAGGATTTTTTTTGGGTGGGGGGGAGAGAAATCCCAGACTCTATGAATTTGTACCATAAAATTCAAAAATTCAAACTAAAAATTAAAAAAAAAAAAAATCACACACAGAAAGAACATCATCTAATCTGGTTCCATCGGATTCACATCACCTCCCAGGCTGACACGATGCGGACTTGCACCAACCACGTCCTTGAGAACTCAAAACCCTACCCAGGCCGTGTGTGAAGCCACATACTGGCTAGAGTCGGGGTGTGTACAACTCCACTGGGCAAAGGACTGCTGTGAATCAGCAGGCGGAGTCCTCACTCTCTAAGCTCACCATGAACAAGAACGAACGCCTAGCCACTGCCGTGTCAGGGCTGCTCCCACCACCCTGCTGTGCACGAGCTCTGGCCCGTTGGCGAGGTCCAGCCCACCTGGCTGTCAGGACGAACTTCCAGCCAGACCGGCTATCTGTGTGTAGCGAAGTGGTCTGACAGTGTTCTGTCATCAGCACAGCACTGTAAGTTTTAAGCTGTATGATGACTCAGCTTGCCGACTGCTGGTGCACGTGGGGAAACTGGCTCTCTTAAACGTGGCTGTGTTTGGAGTCATGGTGGAGGTGCTCCAATGCTGAGGCCCCCACGAGCTGGTCTAGCCTGTGCTGCCACTTGGGAAAAGCCAGGAGGTTCTAGACTGTAAGAGGGTGCTTGCAGGCTTGTTTCCGGAGCCCTGGTCAGTGCCTGGCACGTCATGTGGTGTGCTGTGAGAGCCCGGTGGTTGGTATTGCCTGAGCCTCTGAACCGAAGCCCCAGGGATTTCAGCCTAACTCCAACACAACACCGCCTCATTGCCGAGGTCTTGTTTGGGAATTTTCACTTATTTATTTGAAAGGCAGAAAGAAACAGAAAGAAAGAGATAAGTCGAGACAGAGACACGGGGAGCGCTATCTGCCAGCCACGGATTTGCTCCCCAAAGGCCCGCAATAGCTGGGCTGGCCAAGAGAGAAGCCAGAGGCCCGGAACTCCACCTGGGTCTCCACAGGCCTGGCCAGGATCCACGTGCACTGTACCGTGGGAGGCAGGCAGCCCGGGGTGAGGCACACCATCCACTGTCTGCTGAGGTCTGATGTGCCCGAGAAGGAACTCGTGCAAAGCCTGAGGGAACACACAGGCGGCTGCTGACCTCGGCAGCACTTCCAGGACCCCATTTCCTAAAACCCTTCCGAGTGGGAAGCCAGCCGCAGGGCCGACAGTGCTTACTGTATCCGACTCGCTGACGCAGTGCAGATCCGCGGAAAACCCGTGTGCCAAGGCTTGCTCGCGGATGTTCTCGGCGATGGCCTTGGCCTGGCCGCGCTGGGAGGCGTACAGCAACAAGAACCTCTGCATCCCCTCGTGGCAGCAGCCACAGCAGCGACACCGACACACAGCAAGGCGATCTTAGTGACAGATGCTCCCCGAACCTGAACAAATACAACATCCACACATAGCACAACATGGCTACATCTCTACGTCCGTTAGCACTGAACCTAGACGACTCTCAGTGAGAAAACAAATTAGGGAAAAAACGGGAATCAGACTTGAATTTGTCCAAAGTTACCTGAAAAAGGACTTGATACCCGAATACCTTGTGCCACTTTCAAAGGTTATGTCGCTTTTTGTTCCTCTTTTAAGAATAGAGACAAGTAAAAATTCCACTAATATTACTGGATTCTTGGTTCCTATTTAATCTTTTTTTTTTAAAAGATGTATTTATTTTTATTGCAAAGTCAGATACACAGAGAGGAGAGACAGAGAAGATCTTCTGTCCAATGATTTGCTCCCCAAGTGATCCCAACAGCCGGTGCTGCGCCAATCCAAAGCCAGGAGCCTCCTCCAGGTCTCCCACGCGGGTGCAGGGTCCCAAAGCATTGGGCCGCCCTCCACTGCCTTCCAGGCCACAAGCAGGGAGCTGGAAGGGAAGTGGAGCTGCCAGGATTAGAACCGGCGCCCATATGGGATCCCGGCGTGTTCAAGACAAGGACTTTAGCCACTAGGCGGTTCCTATTTCATCCTAATGCTAACTTTAACAGAAGCACAAGGTCTTCTTTGCTATTGAAATCAATATCAAACACGTGTGAGCCTGAACATGCAAGGGGCACTGATACATTTCTCATACTGCAAAACATTTTGAAGTACATGCAGCTTTTTTCATGATATGCATCTCCTATGAATACTCTAAAGTCCCTTATAAATACTGACTTTGCATTTTCTTCACAGTCAAATTCATTTTTTCAATTGTCCACACTCTGAACTGGCCCTGTGAACATGCACACGGATGGATAAAATGCATTCAATCCTCTGAAACGTTTTCCCAACATTTCTAAGTCTCTAAAGAGAGCCCTGGGGGAGACAAAAAACTAGGGGCACCCCTAGAGGACACTGTTCATTCCTAAGGGCCGATTTAAACTGAGATAGCAATGATAACCATAAAATGTTGGCTTTCGGTGAATGAGCCGCCCAGAGTGCCCAGTTCCTTCAGTCATACCCACCATAAGCAAATCCCACGTTTACCCAGGGAATGCCTTGGCGGCAGAACAGCATCCGGCACAGGTGCCCCCTGAGTCACAGCAGGAAGGATGGCTGCACGTGGAGAGTACACCGCCCTGGAGCTCACCGAGAGCTGTCAAAATCACGTTCCAGGCGTCCACCCCATTCCAGGAGCCCCTACACCCACGGCCGCCCCACGGAGCAGCGCGCTGTCTCAGGCACCTGCTGGAACAGGTGCAGGACCAGGTCCCTGACCCCGTCGGTTCTTCACTGCGCTCTGGCAAACATCGGGCACTCCGGGGCTGCGGAAGGCGCCGCACCGCACCAGCTGCGGGTCTCAGCCCCGGGCACATGCACGCTCCCGGGAGTCCCGATGCAGCCCGCACACTCCTGCACGCTCCCGATGCAGCACACACGCTCCCGGGAGTCCCGATGCAGCCCGCACACTCCCGCACGCTCCCGATGCAGCACACACGCTCCCGGGAGTCCCGATGCAGCCCGCACACTCCCGCACGCTCCCGATGCAGCACACACGCTCCCGGGAGTCCCGATGCAGCCCGCACACTCCCATGCAGCCTGCACACTCCCGCACGCTCCCGGGAGTCCCGATGCAGCCCGCACACTCCCGATGCAGCCCGCACACTCCCGCACGCTCCCGATGCAGCCCACACGCTTCCGGGTGTCTCGATGCAGCCCGCACACTCCCGCACGCTCCCGGGTGTCCAGCAGGCCGCACCGGGAGGACGCTCCCCGGACGCGGCGGGGGAGGAAGGCCTGTGCGATCAGGTCGTCTGCCCCGCGGGCGCCACACTGCCTCCCCATCGGAGGGGCTCGGTGGGAGGCCGGGACCCCGACAAGGCCACTCCCGCAGGACTCACCCGCACGACCCCGTCCGGGGGCCCCCGCAAAGCACAGGTCGCTCGGCCCGGCGTCCCCGCGCACCCCGCGGCGCGCATGCTCGGCACGGGGACCAATGCAGAGCTCCGGAGGGGCGAGTCGAGCCAATCAGGGCGCCTGTTGCAGGCGGGGCGTGGCCGGCGTCCGGCTGCACGCATGCGGCGTCCGGCTGCACGCATGCGCCGCCCGCTCGGCGTGTCTCCTCAGCCCCCGGGGCTGCGGCGTTCGCGAACGGAGGCCCACGCGGCCTGGCGGCGTCCCGGCTGCTCGCGTGGCGGGCAGAGCTCGTGCTGAGGCCCGTGGGGCCGCTCTGCTGCCGGCCGCCTCTCCCGCGGCCGCCTCTCTGCCTGTGACCTCCGGCCGAAGTGGCCCTCGGCTCACCCCACCGCGACCTGGGCACCTGCCGGCCGGCGCCCGAAGCTGGCGCTGCTCGCCCGCCTCCCAGTCTTAAACTTCGTAATAAACGTGGACGCGGGCCCTTGCTTCGGCCCTCCGCGGGGCTTGGGTGTGAGTGCCAGCTGCACCGGCCGCTTGGCTGCTGGGATGCCGGTGAGCCCCCCTTGGCTCGGGGCGAGGCGGCCCTGCGGGGCACCCTGCGGTCGTCCCTGAGCTGCTGCGGGGCACCCTGCGGTCGTCCCTGAGCTGCTGCGGGGCACCCTGCGGTCGTCCCTGAGCTGCTGCGGGGCACCCTGCGGTCGTCCCTGAGCTGCTGCGGGGCACCCTGCGGTCGTCCCTGAGCTGCTGCGGGGCACCCTGCGGTCGTCCCTGAGCTGCGGGTCAAGGGCGGCGGACTGCCGGAGGGCATGATGCTCGCCTTGCGGAGGGGCCTGTGGCGTCTGCCCGATTTCGGGGTCCGGAGGGCTCTCCCTGTGAGTTGTGCGCCACCGCCGGGGCCTCTCCGAGGCGGGCTCCGTCGGGCCTACGCGCACAGGCTCCCGTCCGAGGATGGAAGCGCGCTCGGGCCAGCCGGGCAGCCGCAGTGCCCCGGGCCGGGCCCCTGGGACAGGGCCGGAGGCGGCCGCGAGGGAGAGGACCGCGAGCGAGAGGACGGGCCGGCGTCCCCGAGGGCCCCGGGCGAGGAGCAGGTGCACCTGCGGACGCTGGACGGCCTGGCCTCGGCGGAGGAGGTGCTGGCCTTCGTGGACGCGCTGGACCCTCTGCCCGACAGCGTGGCCGCCAGGGCCGTGGAGCGGCTCGGCGGGGCGGGAGGCGGGGGCGGCCCGGCCGCGTGGCCCCCGTGCGGCGCCAGCCTCGTGGCCGCCCTGAGGACGCTGGTGCTGCTGCGGGCCGACCCCCGGGGCAGCCTGCCGGGCCGGCTGCTGGCCGAGTGCCTGCGGCGCCTGGCCGGGGGCGGCCTGCGCGTGCCCGAGCTCTGCGCGCTGGCCGAGAGCCTGCTGGCGCTGCGGGGCCCGGGCTGCGAGGCCCTGGCCGGCGTGCTGCAGCAGCTGCAGGGGGCCGACGAGGCGGCCTGGGGCCCGGCCGACGTGCTGGCCGTCTACGGCGTCCTGCAGGCGTGCCCCGAGCTGGCCGGCCGGCGGCGCGCCCTCCTGGCCAGGCTGGCCCGCGCGGCGCTGCCGCTGGTCCCGCAGCTGGGCCCCGCGTCGCTGAGCCGGCTGCTGGCGGCGCTGGCGGGCCTGGGGCAGGCGCGGGCGCGGCCGCTGCTCGGCAGGCTGGCCCGGCACGCCGCGCGCCTCGTCCCGCGCTTCACCGCGCCCGAGCTGGGCCGCGTGCTCCGCGCCCTCGGGCACCTGGGGCACCGCGACCGCGCCTTGGCGCACGCCCTGGAGCGGCACGCGGCCGGCCTGGGCCCCGGCCTGGCGCCCGACGTGGCGAGCAGCGCGGCCGAGCTGTGCGGCCGGGAGCTGCTGCTGTCGCGCCCCATCCTGGACGCCGTGGCAGGGGCTTTCCTGGGCCGCCCCGAGAGCTTCTCGCCCGCCCAGATCGCCAGCGTCTTCGAGGCTTTCGGAAAACTCAACTACGTGCCCCCGAACTCCGCTGCCCTGTTCGCCAAGCTCGAAGCTAGGCTCTGCGCTCAGCTCGATTCTTTTCCACCCAAAGCGCTTTTGAAGCTTCTCCACTCGTGTTCCCTTCTTGAATACCATCCGGTCAACTTCCTGCCGAAAATATTCAGCCCTTTCTTCCTTCAGCGGCTCCAAGGTGAGCTGGCCCTAATGTCTGATTCTGGGAAACAAGGTCACCTTTGAACTTGGGGGTTACGGGTCTCAGTTGTAATGCTGAAGCCGAGCAATCCTTTGCCTTTATTTTTGCTTCACGGGATAAATGGTTGGGTGTCCTAAGGCTGGGTGCTTGCTCTTCCAGGTGAAGAATCCTATTTGGACAGAGTGAGTCTGGCCCAGCTGACCCAGCTCTTCCTAAGCTCGGTGCTCGAATGTCCGTTCTATAAGGTAAGCAGGAAGTGCAGGGCTCACTCCCCTGGGGGGTGACCAGCGCTGTGTGTGTGTGTGTGTCCTGCTGCGCCCAGGCTCCCCTCACTGCTCTCTCTGCTCCCTGTGAAAAGCAGAACTTTGATTTACTCCAATTGCCTTGTTTTTGTTTTAAACAAATTGATCCCCCTGTGTGTTCCTGTCCTGAGGGACCAGTGTCCTTTGCGTGACTCTGTAGACAGCTGTCAGTGGCTGCAGGTACATGAGTCAGCAGCACTCCTGGATTCTGTCTGCGGCTGTGAAAGGGTTTTAGCATTTCTCAGAACGGTTGCCAAAGTGAACCTCTGTGCTAAACAAACTCTGCAGTGTTTTTAAACCAAGGCAGCACTCTGAGAGCTTAGGGAGAGTTGCTGCGGCTGTGCAGCAGTGTTGGGCCCACGTGGAGGCTCAGGATAGCCACGCTGGGCCTGGCCACCCACTGCCCGGGACAGTCTGGAGAGCGCTCAGGTGCATGCGTCTGTTCCTGCAGGCCGCTCACAGCAGGCTGCATGCCCGCAGACATGCAGGCCTGCAGACACGCAGGCATGCAGGCCCACAGACACACAGACACGCAGGCACACAGACATGCAGGCCCGCAGACACGCAGGCACACACACGCAGACATGCAGGCATGCAGGCACACAGACACGCAGGCATGCATGACACGCAGGCACACACACGCAGGCATGCAGGCCCGCAGGCATGCAGGCCCGCAGACATGCAGGCACACAGACACATTGCCAGTATTTTCTGGGAATGGAGTGGTCCTGCTGAAGCAGACGGCTTCTTTGCTGGTGTTTGAGGACATCTCTTCAGGCTGAGAAGGGCTTGCTGTATGACATCTTGCCTTCCTGGTACTGCACTCTCAGTCTTTCCAGCTTTAGCTTCTATCAGCAGTGCTGTGGTCAGCATCCTTGTTACCGTTGTACTGTTGCCTGTAAGCTAGATTCCTACAGCGTGGAAGTGCTGAATTACTGCTTTAAGTACTGGATTACTGTTTTAAATACTGGCCTATCTGTGCGCTAGGATTTGTAGCTGTCATATTTCTCCTGCACTGAGAAGCTGACCCTGTCTCCCCCACATCTCCTGCAGGGTGGGAAGCAGTGTCACGTGTTAAGATTCGTTTTCACAGCACGCGTGGAAACTGAGCACTTCTTGAGGTGTTTAGTGCCAGTGTGCAATTCCCAGGACGTGTCCTCGTGCGTCTGGACTCCCGTGGGAGCTCGGCTATCTTTGGTCTTAGAGTTCACTGTAAAACAGACACAGGATTTTCCTTTCGTTTGTGATTTTTTTGTTTTAAATTATGGTGTAAGTTTAATTTTTCTGTAATCAAATTTGTCTTTCATGTCTTCTGGGTTTGCTGTCCTCACTGACCTCGGGGTTTGTATTTTATTATGTAGTCACATTTTGAAGCTAACCCATACAGCTGTGTCCTGCGTGCCTGTGTTGGAGCGTGGGATGTAGAGCTCATTGTCTCACATCCCGACCGTCTGGGCCAGAACTTCGTTGTCTGAGCGCTTTGCAGGGGTGGAGCCGGGCTTGCTCTGCCTCGCTTTGGAATTCATGACTAGCCGGTGTCAAGTGCTGCCGGTGGAGCTGACCTGGCCAGAAGCCTTCGTTGCCCTGTTTTCCCTTGCAGGACTTTGGTCAATCCCGCAGTTGTTTCCTTTTTGTCCCCCCCTCAGACCCCTCTCTTTTTCTTCTTCCTGTTTCCGGTGGCCAGTGACTGCACGCGGCTCTGACGCGCATTTTGAACTGTGGTCTTTTGCAGTGTTTTTTTAGAAGGCCATCTGGCTTACTCCTGGAAAAGCATCAGGCCTATACAGTAATTTTGTATCAAACTTATGTAACCAGCTAAGCTTGAATTTACTCTCAGGTTTCGTATCTTACATTTCTCTCTCGTGTTTGCACAATGACTTTCAGGGTCCCAAACTCCTTCCTAAATACCGAGTGAAGTCATTTCTAACTCCGTGTTGCTCCTTGGAGACCCCCGTGGATTTCCAGCTTTATAAACCTGTGATGCTTGCACTCACTGACCTGTTAGGAGCGAGATTGCATTTTGCTTCCAAAGTGCTAACACCCTATTGTTACACGATAGGTAAGTGGCGCAGGAAGTCTTGCTGTCTTGAACCCAGCTAGGTGCCCTGCCTTGCAGATATGTGGGTGTGTGGAAACAAGTGCAGCAGTGCCCTGCCCGCAGCCAGTGGCCTGTTGCAGTGGGGTCAGTGCTGCCGGGTTAGCACAGTCACCCTCTGCACACTTCCCCGTCTGTCGGAGAAGACTTCCAGCACTCGGGTATGGGCTCAGTGAAACATGCCTGGGACATGGAAAGTGCTCAGTAATGGTTAGCTGCGGTTACAGTCAGGCCCAGGGCTATGCGAATTTAATAGCTATGGCTACAGGAAGCCGTTCAAACCAAAATTAACTAAAGTGAAAGAAAAACAAAAAGTTTACAATTCAGCTCTTCCATCAGCCCTGTCCAAGTGCGCAGTAGCCACCTGTGGTTTGTGACTGCCTGATTGGACCGCACAGCCAGAAACACTTCTGCCTGCAGGGACTCTGCCACACAGAGCGGCAAGCCAGGGCAGCGAGTGACGGGCAGGGGCTCTGGGGTTCCCACGATAGCATCTTAACTCCTGCCTTCACCCAGGGGCACGGGTCGCCTATTCCAGATTTGAGAATATTCGAGGACCCGTGTCAGCAGGGTGCAGCGTCCTTCACCTGCCGGCCGTGAGCTTGGCAGGTGTGCAGGCGGTGGGCTCTGCTTGAGCTGCCCATCTGGACTGGTTGTCAGGGAAAGAGTGAGGATAGTGCGTGACAGCTCGTGACCCTCCTGTCTGCTTCATGTAGCTGAGCTGTGAGTGTAAGCTGCTTAGGATCGAGTTCTCACCATCGGTTGGTTGTGGTTCTTTGCAGCTTTCAGCGCAGCTGGTACAGCAGTGTGGAAGAAGTCAAAGTGGAGGAGCTGTACAGGGAGATGGTTCTCAGGAGGGTATCACAAAGCCTCCCTTTCTTCTCTCACCAGATGTCGAAATTAAGTTAGACGAAGGGGGATTTGTATTACCTGCTTCAGTTGATGAAGATGTCTATGGAAGGTAGAGTCTTGTACTTTTTATTCTAAGACATTTTAAATGATGTACATATTTATTTGAAAGGCAGAGTGACAGAGGGAGAAACAACATTTCTGCCCACTGTGTCGTTCTCTCCATGGCCACCAGAGCCCAGAGTGGGCAGGCTGACGGCAGGAGCCGGGGACTCCATGCATGTGTGCTACGTGGAGCGGAGACTCCAGCACTGGAGCCATCACGTGCTGCCTCCACGGGTGTATTAGGAAGCTGGCTTGGAAGTGGAGCAGCCGGGACTTGAACCAGCACTCCTGTGTGGGGCGCTGTCATCACACCACAGTACAGACAGAACCCTGTTGTAACACTTGCAACCTTAAGAAATGATCTTTTTTGAGGCTGGTATTGTGGCATAGAGGCAGAGGTACCACCTGCAACAACTGGCATGGTATGGATATTGGTTCAAGTCCCAGCATTTCTGTTTCCATCTGGCTCCCTGCACCTGGGAAAGCAGTGTAAGATGGTCCATATCTGGGCCCGGCGGCGTGGTAGTCTAGTGGCTAAAGTCCTTGCCTTGGACATGCCAGGACCCCATATGGGCACCGGTTCTAATCCCACCTGCTCCACTTCTCATCCAGCTTCCTGCTTGTGGCCTGGGAGGGCAGTGGAGGACGGCCCAAAGCCTTAGGACCCTGTACCCATGTGGGAGACCTGGAGGAAGTTCCTGGCTTCTGGCTTGGGATAGGCGCAGCACTGGCTGACGCGGCTCACTTGGGAAGTGAATCATCGGACTAAAAATCTTCCTCTCTGTCTCTGCTCCTCTCTGGATATCTGACTTTGCAATAAAAATAAAATAAATCTTTGAAAAAAAAAAAAAGATGGTCCAAATCCTATGGTTCCTGCGCCCACGTGGGAGGCATGGAAGAAGCTTCTGACTCTTGGCTTTGGTCTGGCCCCGCCCTGGCTGTTGCAGCTACTTGGGGAGTGAACCAGCCAATGGAAGTGTTTGTCCCTCTCTCTGTAACTCTGCATTTTAAATCAATGAAATGAGTATATGTACATATGTTTTTTAAATCTTTCCCTTCATAGGGTGAAACAAAATAGACCTTCTAGAAGGCAAAATGTTTTTAACTTGCTACTTCTGAAAATTCGTTGCGGTATTTTATAAGGATCCTCAGTCCTTTTGGAAGGATTGAAAGATGACCCGCTTGGGGCTAGGGCAGCCAGCACTGTGACTAGACATGTTCCTGTCAGACTTCCTCCCTTGGGTTTTTCAGAGTAGCCTTGTGCATTGACGGGCCACAACGATTTTGCTCCAACGGCAGACACTTACTGGGGAAAGAAGCTATTAAACAGAGACACCTGCAGTTACTGGGCTACCGAGTTGTTCAGGTATGAGTTCGCATTTCCTTCCTTCCTTCCTTCCTTCCTTCCTCCCTCCCACCCTCCCTCCCTTCCTTCCTCCCACCCTCCCTCCTTCCTTCCCTCCCTTCTTCCCTCGCTTCCTTCCGTAAAAAGTTTTAATTCAGATTTGATTTTTCTAGGGTACCAGTAAAAAGTAATAGAGGCACAGAAAACCTTTAGTAAGGGTTCATGACTAGAACAGTGCCAACCAGAAGTGATTGGGGCTCTCCCAAGGGAGTGAAGGGGCTTCTCCGAGACTGAAGTGGCAAAGGAAGTGCTCCCCAAGCTTGCGCTGTGCTGTTTCCTGGTGCAGGCGTCACCGGGAACCACCCCAGGCCCCACGCACCGGCCTCACGCACCAGGCCCCACGCACCAGCCCGAAGGCAGCTCTCGGAGGTTCCTCAGGCCCGTGGTCGTTTATTTTCACGGGACTCCGTGATCTGCGTGCCTGAGGATGACAGACCTAGTTTAGGTCCGGGATTAGCCTCAGGTCTCCTGACAGGGGCCGCAGTGTAGCCCCTGGTTGTTCTCCAGAAGTGGGGCGTGCTGTGTGCTCTCAGCCCTGCCTGCCTCTCTCTGTTTCAGAGACTCCTTGTTATCCTCAGATTCCTGATTTAGTGCCCAACGTGGCTGATGTGCCTAAGGTTCACAACCTTGTTTGTGTTTTCTGTGGAGATGGGTGTCAGGCCCTGGTGTGGGAGGGCTTGGAGGGGTGAGTTTGAACAGAAAGAGCAGCCCGGGTTCCCGGCTCCTCTGGGCTGGGGCTGCAGGCCCCTCTGGATCTGCCTGTTAGCGTTTGCTCCCCGGGTGAGCATTCCTAACGGAATCACGCCAGGTGTGCTGCTGCTTGGCCGCTTCCAGGAATTCTTGATGTCCTAACATCCAGGACCCTCCATGGGCATCTCCTCCACCCAGGCCCTGTGGTCGCCTGGCCCGCTCGGCTGCCCGGCTGCCTCCCCGGTCCCTGTGGTCGCCTGGCCCGCTCGGCTGCCCGGCTGCCTCCCCGGTCCCTGTGGCCGCCTGGCCTGCTGCCCGTGGCCTGGCTCTGCTCCTCCAGCCTCTCTTTACCCAAGCTGCTTTCCCACCCAACTTTTCCCGCAGTTGGAATTCTCCTGTTCATCAGCTCTCACCATCAGTTCATTAAATGCCTCCTCCCTCTTAGTGATAAATCTCCAGTCTGCTTCTGTGTGTCTTACATTTAACTTGACACTTTGTCCTTGAGCCCCCAGAGGCCCAGGGCCTGGGCTTGGTTATCTGATGCGCCGGTGTGTGCCCGGCTCTGTCCCACAGGCGTGACCACTGCCTTCGAATGAGAAACAAGGCCATGTCCAAGCCAGAGTCCTCCCAGTCCTGAGGAGTGCCACGCCTTTGCTCTCCCCGCAGGTCCCCCACCATGAGGCGGAGCTGCTCAGGTCCAGACTGGAACTGGTGGAGTATTTACAAAGAAAACTGTTTTCCCAAGACACTGCTGCCTGTTGGTAACGGGAGCCCTGTGCAGAACTCGGAGTGTAGAACAACATCCTGGTTCACACTCTGGCGTAAAACGCAGAGAGAATGTAAGTCTTGAATTAGTCATGCTGCAGAACTCTGTGTACAGACCGTTGGTCTAGGAGTGTCTGTAATGCCCCTCTACCCTGTGTACAGCTATTAGTGGCAGACTTCAAGTTCATCTTGATTTAATGCTAGTGTCCTAGGTATTTTTTATACATCAAACAATAAATGAAGTTTAAGTAAAGGAATGTAATAAATGTCATTTTAAGTGTTTTGATTTCAATAATTATTATAATAATTATATGCTAAATGGGCCTGGCACGTTAGCCTAGTGGCTAAAGTCCTCACTTAGTACATGCCAGGATCCCTTATGGCCTCCAGTTCTAATCTCAGCAGCCCACTTCCCATCCAGCTCCCTCCCTGCTTGTGGCCTGGGAAAGCAGTGGAGGATGGCACAGAGCCTTGGGAGGGACCCTGCACCCGTGTGGGAGACCTGGAAGAGGTTCCTGGCTCTTGGCTTGGGATTGACTCGGCTCAGCTCTGGCCATTGTGGCCACTTTGGGGGTTGAATCAACAGATGGAGGATCTTCCTCTCTGTCTCTCCTCCTCTGTAAATCTGACTTTCCAGTGAAAATAAATCTTGAAAAAAAAGTATATGCTAAATAAAAATAGGATCTTTGGAGGCCTGTATTTTCCCAAACAACAAACGTGAAAAATTTTATTTCTGTCTTATTTTTGTGTATAAAATGGAACAATGAAAAATAGATTTGGGCCCAGTGCAGTAGCCTAGCGGCTAGGGTCCTCACTTTGCATGCGCTGGGATCCCAGCAGCTCCATTTTCCTTCCAGCTTCCTGCTTGTATTCTGGGGAAGCAGACGAGGACAGCCTGGAGCCTTGGGACCCTGCACCTGCGTGGGAGACCCAGAAGTTCCTGGCTCCTGGCTTCAGATCACTGCAGCTCCGGCTATTGTGGCTGCTTGGGGAGTGAATCATTGGGTGGAAGATCTTTCTGTCTCTCCTCCCCTCTGGATATCTGACTTTGCAATAAAAATAAATCTTTTTTTTAAAAAAGTAGATTCTAAAGTACTTTGAATGTAAATGTGTCATGGGAGATCGTAAGTTATGCCAATGTAACGACTGCATTTTGTAATGATTGGCATGGGCTGGTATGGGGGAAAGGCCGTTTGGGGGGAGCGCCTGGGCGTTGGAAGCTGGGCTGGGCAGAGTCAGCAGGAGTTGGGGCAGCCATGTCATTGCCCGTCATGTCAGGTTCGGGGCAGTGCCATCCTCTTCAAGGCCAGGTTACAGTGCCACTTGGGGCTGTGGCAGGAGCTCTAGCCTGGGGAGCCCTGCTGAGTGCTGCCTGCCCCCTGGGGGAGTGCCCCGTCTCAGGTGAGCCCAGGGAGGAGGTGAAAGGGCTCCTTTTCTTGCACTTGGAGCAGGCAGTGGAGACCAGGTGAACCCCAAGTCCCCTTTAACAGTATACCTTGATTCCGGAGAGGGGCAGAGGGCAGCAGTGGGCAGGAGGCGCCCTGTGTGTCCTGCTGTGTGCCTGTACCCGGATGAGCATGCCACCTGCTTTGGCGCTGGCTACATGGGCAATCAGCTGAACTAGACAACTGCAAACAGGTGATCAGCTCTGGGTTCTGGGAGGCCTCAGAAGTCCCCTTGCCAGGGAAGCCCAGTGTGCCCTGGGCAGCCCCAGGTCCCTGTCTGCTGTCATTGCACTGGTCCCCTCTTCCCAAGGGTCCACTCCTCCTTGATGTGTGAAGCCGAACCCTGAAGTCCGCTGGCTTTGTGAGCTGACCATGTGAAGAGGCACATGGACCTAGCCCAGTGCTTGGGCACCCACAGGAGGTGGCGGTGTGACTCCTCAGCCTTTGTCCCAGCCCTTGGCTGCTAGGTGGCCTTCTGTCCACTCCCAGCACTCCAGCTGCTGTGCCGTGGCCTCACAAGTCCTCCCTCCCAGTCTCGCCCATTCCCCACATGCCTGCTGGAGGCTATGACGATGCCAGCGCGCAAGGGAGGAACCCAGAGAGGGCTGGGGGATGCCCCCTGTGCCCTAGAAGCCCATGCAGCACTCTGGGAAGCCAAGGCCCTGGTCTGCCAGCGAGGGGGTGAACGCCGAGTTTCAGCAGAGGTTGGAGGTCTGTGCAAGACTGGCAGGTCCGTCCCAGGGACGGAAGTGAGCGCCAGGCCAGCGCTGCTTCAACATGGCTTCCTCCTCAGAAGGTACATGTGGAAATGACTGACACGGAGATGATTGGATGAATACACAGCCTCGCTGGCTTCCCAGTGGACTGGGTTTATCGGGCCCTGAGACTCATGGCTGTACCTAAGTAATGAGAGGTGTGAGTACTTGACCCGCCTGGTGGCCTTTGCTACCACCATCTTACTGCCCCGCGATGAGTGAAAACCGGTGAGACACATTTGAATGCTAGTCTTGTCTTGGCCACAGCTTCACTTTGGATGGTTTCCATGATCTGTGGTCAGTGCGGCCTGGAAATAGGAAGGGAAATGCCAGAGAGCAGCCACATTCACGTTCGTTCTTTATTTTTTAAAGATTTATTTATTGGAGTCAGATATACAGAGAGGAAAAAAACAGAGGAAGATCTTCCATCCGATGACTCCCCAAGTGAGCGCAAGGGCCGATGCTATGCCGATCCCAAGCCAAGAGCCAGAAACTTCTTCCAGGTATCCCACAGGGGTGCAGGGTCCCAAAGCTTTGGACAGTCGACTGCTTTCCCAGGCCACAAGCAGGGAGCTGGAGAAGTGGAGCAGCCGGGATTAGAACCAGTGCCCACACGGGATCCTGGCGCGTTTAAGGCAAGGACTTCAGGCGCTAAGTCATGCCGCCGGGCCCTCACATTATTTATTACAGTGAGCTGTTCCTGCTGCTTGATTTGATTTAGTCATTGTGAGTCAGGAGCCTTATTTATAACTCCGACTTGATCCTGGGTGTGTTTGTACAGGAAAGGGTATACATCGGGTCTGACAGGGTCCACAGTTGGAGCCACACCCCTGGGGTTTGGACGGAGACCCTCCTGGCTCAGCCCAAGCCTTGGGGTGTTCCGTCATCTCATCACTAGGGGGCAGCGGAGTCCAGCCCCTGACTGTGCTGCGGCCCTGGAAGCCTGGACCGGCCCTCGTCAGAAGCCAGTGGGTTCTGCTGTGGAAGTTGGTGTGGGGGATAGTGTGCATGGGCATGCGCATGTGGGCGGCCTACGGGCTGGAGCTGGGGGAGAATGTGTTGAACTCTGCTCCAACAATCCTCTGGCAGTCTTCCTTACCTTGCTGGACCTCCCCTGGATGACACCCTGAGGAAGAGGCGGGTCCTTGAAGCACCTAACCTCCAAATCTGGGTATACTTGGTGGCTGTTTGCTGGGTGGGAGTTAAAATAGGAAGGAGCAGAAGTCTGCACTTTTGATGCCGTTCTGGAAAGCCAACGCGGCAGTCAGTTCCCTTGGAAGGAAGACCGTGCAGGTGGCCCGGGGTGGTGGGCTTTCCGAAGGGCAGGTAGCACCTGCAGTCTAACACCGAGTGTGGGAGAGTGGGAGCCAGGCTTGGTAGGGAAGCGTTCAGCCAGGGCCCTGGGAGATGCAAGGGGCAGTGAGCTGTCACTGCCCGTGGTGTGCGTGGCTCCCTCAGTGCCTATGACTGCTAGACCTGTGGAGCTGTGCGGGGTTGTAGGCCCAGCCTGGGACAGCGCCTCTGTGATCCTCACCAAGGACGCGGTTCTCAGATCACTGAAATGGGCCACATCGGGGCTGGCAGCCGCAGGATGTGAGCCGTGTGGGTCTGGGACGCAGCTGGGACATGCTGCAGCTTCCTGTCAGGCTGCAGGTGTGGGAGGTCAGGGCCTGACTCGGCTGCCAGCTTCCTTCAGTTTTCCTTAAATCCTCAGCTTCACTTTCCCAGATGGTGTACCCACTCTGGCTGGCTCTTTGGTTGGCAGCCTCCTCTTCTGCGCCAGGCAGGACCCTGAGCGTTATGCCGATGTGCTTTGGCTGCTGGGCCTGTCACAGGAAATGCTGCCCTCATGTGCTTGTGATAATCTGAGCCCGTCGCAGGAAGAGCCCGTCTCTAACAGCTCCCACAGACCCTGGCATCCGGCACACATTCTGGCAGAACTGAAGCTGGCAGACAGTATCTTCTCTCCCCTGCTGTCCTCTTACAGGGAATTCTGCACACACACAAAGCTGGAAGAGCAGCTGCAGTGGATCCATCCTGAAAAAAGGACCAGCATTTTCGAATGTTTCCTCCTTACTTCCCATTGTTACTGGAAAGCGTCCGGAGTAATCCAAGCTACATCATTGCACTGTTTGGTTTTTCATATAACCATTGAGCCATGCTAGAAATTAAGATGTGTCCCCTACGTTTCATGTCTGGTCAAGATTCTGTTTCCTTTGACATCTCAAGAACAGTTGCCACCTGCTGATTTGTTTGAATCAGAATCCAAGACCACAAGTGACCTTTAGAAGTTGTACTGCTTAAGTCTCTTGGTTCATGACTTCCCCTTTGTGTCACTGTTTCTCTGTAGGATGCCTGCACTGTTGATTGGGTGTTGTCTGTTTTCTTCCTCTGTGTCTTGTGCTTCCCTATAAACTGAATCGGGACCATTGGCACAGTGTTGGGGAGCAGAGGCTGGTACGGCGCGGTCTTGGTGACATCCCTCAGCTGGTGAGGGTGCACCTGTACCGTGAGCCCCACCCATCCAGGGCAGGCTCCCCACGCCCTGCCAGCCAGGGCTTGTGTGGCACCTGTGCGTGATCAGGGACCAGACCCAGAGAAAAAGCCGCAACCAGAATGACTTCCCTGTGCTACCATCCATTCCTTCTCTTGCTTTTACTCAGTGACAAGGAAGAAACTGCTCTTGGTGGCCACTGCTCGGTCCTAACACCGGCTGGCACAGAGAAGCCAGAAGCCTCCGTTTCTCCCCTGCATCTTCAGAATAGCTCATGTGGTCTAGCCAGGACTTGGTTTGTTTGCAGGTGTTTGTGAACCCAGGCCTGCACTGCTGCAGTCCTCTTTTTGATGCTTCCATGACCCTGTTGTGGACCGGCAGAACCCCTCGTGTGGTGCCACTGTCCCCTAGACCTAGTCCGATTGAGTTGTGAAATGTTTCAGGCAGAGCAGGATGTCCTGGCTCTTACTCCACTTGCCGTGGGGTCAGGCCTCCAAGGCACCCTGGTTCCCGCACCCCCGCGGGGATAGGCGGGGATGCCTGCTGGGAGACTTGTTAGTGTTTGGAGATTTTTATT